TTGGAGCCCCTGGGATGGATTGAAATGAGAATTTTATCCCAAAAATAATTCCAAAAATTTCAGATCTTGGAGCTTCTGGGATGGGCTGAAAAGAGAATTTTACCCCAAAAATAATTCCAACAATTCCAGGTCTTGGAATTTCTGGCATGGGCTGAAAGGAGAATTTTATCCCAAAATAATTCCAAAAATTCCAGGTCTGGGAGTCCCTGGCATGGGCTGAAAGGGGAATTTTATTCCAAAAATAATTCAAAAAATTTCAGGTCTTGGAATTTCTGGGCTGGGCTGAAAGGAGAATTTTACCCCAAAAAATAATTCCAGGGTTGGAGCCTCTGGAATGGATTGAAATGAGAGTTTTACCCCCAAAATAATTCCAAAACTTCCAGGGTTGGGGCTTCTGGGCTGGGCTGAAAGGGGAATTTTACCCCAAAAATAATTCCAAAAAATTCAGATCTTGAAGTCCCTGGGGTGGGCTGAAAGGAGAATTTTATCCCCAAAAACAATTCCAGGTTTGGAGCCCCTGGCATGGGCTGAAAGGGGAATTTTACCCCAAAATAATTCCAATAATTCCAGGTCTGGGAGCCCCTGGGACGTTTTTAAAGGAATTTTTATTTTTCATTTTTTCACCCAAATCACTCCAGACCAGGGATCCCCCTGGGGATGTTCTGAAAGGAGAATTTTACCCAAAAATAATTCCAATAACTCCAGGTATTGGAGCCCCTGGGATGTTCTTAAAGGAATTTTTTTTTTATTTTTTCACACAAATAATTCCAGGCCTGAGAACCCCTGGGACGTTTTTAAAGGAATTTTTATTTTTAATTTTTTCACCCGAATCACTCCAGACCCGGGATCCCCCTGGGGATGTTCTGAAAGGAGAATTTTACCCCAAAAATAATTCCAATAATTCCAGGTCTTGGAGCCCCCTGGGATGTTCTGAAAGGAGAATTTTTTTTAATTTTTTCACCCAAATCACTCCAGACAGACCCGGGAGCCCCCTGGGATGTTCTGAAAGGAATTTTTTTACCCCAGAAATTCCAGATATTGGAGCCCCTCAAAGGATTTTTTAATTCAGATAATTCCAGGTCTGGTAGCCCCTGGGGATGTTCTTAAAGGAGTTTTAAAATTTATTTTTTAACACGAATCACTCCAGACCTGGGAGCCCCTGGGATGTTCTGAAAGGGGAATTTTATCCAAAAATAATTCCAGGCCTGAGAACCCCTGGGATGTTCTTAAAGGAATTTTTATTTTTAATTTTTTCACCCAAACCACTCCAGACCCGGGATCCCCCTGGGGATGTTCTGAAAGGAGAATTTTATCCAAAAATAATTCCAATAATTCCAGGTATTGGAGCCCCTGGGAAGTTCTGAAAGGAAAATTTTTTTTTATTTTTTCACCCAAATCACTCCAGACAGACCCGGGATCCCCCTGGGAAGTTCTTAAAGGAATTTTTTTTTTATTTTTTCACACGAATCACTCCAGACCTGGGAGCCCCTGGGATGTTCTGAAAGGGGAATTTTACCCAAAAATAATTCCAGGCCTGAGAACCCCTGGGATGTTCTTAAAGGAATTTTTATTTTTAATTTTTTCACCCAAATCACTCCAGACCCGGGATCCCCCTGGGGATGTTCTGAAAGGAATTTTTTTACCCCAGAAATTCCAGATTTTGGAGCCTCTCAAAGGATTTTTTAATTCAGATAATTCCAGACCCGGGATCCCCTGGGATGTTCTGAAAGGAGAATTTTACCCCAAAATAATTCCAATCACTCCAGAGCCGGGATCCCCCTGGGGATGTTCTGAAATGAGAATTTTACCCCAAAATAATTCCAATAATTCCAGAGCCGGGATCCCCCTGGGGTTTCTGCCGTGCCCCGACCCCTCCCCTAATTCCTCCGTGCTCCCCCTCCCCAGAATTAACAACCAGGACGGCACTGCCGAGATGCTGGTGGAAGCCTTGGGTGCCAAGATTGTTAATAGCAGAGATGCCAAAGGAAGGTGAGGGTCCCCTCCCTGCCCCCCTGCTCTGCCCCCCGACCCCCCGACCCCCACATTCTGATTTTTGGGTTTTTTTTTTTGCCCTCCAGGACCCCCCTTCACGCCGCTGCCTTCGCTGACAATGTCCGTGGTTTGCAGCTGCTCCTGCGCCACCGGGCCCAGGTGGACTCGGCCGACAAACAGGGCAGGACCCCCCTGATGGTGGCATCGGAGCACGGGCACACGGCGGCCGTGGGTGGGTGGGGCCTGGGGACACCTGGGGACACCTGGGGACACCTGGGGACAGAACCTGGGGACACCTGGGACAGCTGGGGATAGCTGGGGACAGCTGGGGACACCCAGGGACACGGCCTGGGGATAGCTGGGGACACCTGGGGACAGCTGGGGATAGCTGGGACACCTGGGGACAGAACCTGGGGACACCTGGGGATAGCTGGGGACACTGTGGGGACATGGCCTGGGGACACCTGGGGACTCTTCTTTAATCCTGGACACTGTGGGGACACGGCCTGGGGACATTTGGGGACATTTTGTGGCTCCTTCCTGAGCCTGGACACTGTGGGGACAGACCCTGGGGACATTTTGTGGCTCCTCTTTAAGTCTGGAGCCTGCAAGGACAGACCCTGGGGACATGTGGGGACAATGGGGACACTGGGGGGACATTGGGGACATTGGGGACATTTGGGGACACTGGGGACATTTGGGGACATTGGGGACATTGGGGACACTGGGGACACTGGGGACATTTGGGGACATTGGGGACATTGGGGACATTTGGGGACACTGGGGACACTGGGGACATTGGGGACACTGGGGACATTTGGGGACACTGGGGACATTTGGGGACATTTGGGGACACTGGGGACACTGGAGCCCGTCCCCCAGCGTTCCGTGCTCCCTGCAGAGTTCCTGCTGTTCCAGGCCAAGGCCAATCTCACCGTGCTGGACATCAACAGGAACACGGCTCTGCACCTGGCCTGCAGCAAGGTGGGCACGGCTGCCAGGGCCCTGGGCCACCTGGGCCACCTCTGTGTCACCTCTGTGTCATCTGTGTGTCACCTGTGTCCCCTGTGTGTCACCTGTGTGTCACCCTGTGTGTCCCCTGTGTCCCCCTGTGTCCCCCATGTGTCATCTGTGTCACCTCTGTGTCACCTGTGTAACCTCTGTGTCACCTCTGTGTCACCTGTGTCACCTGTGCCACCTGTGTCACCTCTGTGTCACCTCTGTGTCACCTCTGTGTCACCTGTGTCACCTGTGTGTCACCTGTGTCAGCTGTGTGTCACCTCTGTGTGTCACCTCTGTGTCCCCTCTGTGTCACCTGTGTCAGCTGTGTGTCACCTGTGTGTCACCTGTGTCANCCTGGGGATGTTCTGAAAGGAGAATTTTACCCAAAAAATAATTCCAATAATTCCAGGCCTGAGAACCCCTGGGATGGGCTGAAAGGGGAATTTTACCCCAAAAATAATTCCAACAGTTCCAGGTCTTGGAGCCCCTGGGATGTTCTGAAAGGGTTTTTTTACCCCGGAAATTCCAGATATTGGAGCCCCTCAAAGGATTTTTTAATTCAGATAATTCCAGGTCTGGGAGCCCCTGGGGATGTTCTGAAAGGAATTTTAAAATTTATTTTTTAACACGAATCACTCCAGACCTGGGAGCCCCTGGGATGTTCTGAAAGGGGAATTTTACCCAAAAATAATTCCAATAATTCCAGGTATTGGAGCCCCTGGGATGTTCTTAAAGGAATTTTTTTTTATTTTTTCACACAAATAATTCCAGGCCTGAGAACCCCTGGGACGTTTTTAAAGGAATTTTTATTTTTCATTTTTTCACCCAAATCACTCCAGACCCGGGATCCCCCTGGGGATGTTCTGAAAGGGGAATTTTACCCAAAAATAATTCCAATAACTCCAGGTATTGGAGCCCCTGGGACGTTCTGAAAGGAAATTTTTTTTATTTTTTCACACAAATAATTCCAGGCCTGAGAACCCCTGGGACCTTTTTAAAGGATTTTTTTTTTAATTTTTTCGCCCAAATCACTCCAGAGCCGGGATCCCCCTGGGGATGTTCTGAAAGGAATTTTTTTACCCCAGAAATTCCAGATTTTGGAGCCTCTCAAAGGATTTTTTAATTCAGATAATTCCAGGTCTGGGAGTCCCTGGGGATGTTCTGAAAGGAATTTTTATTTTTAATTTTTTCACACGAATAACTCCAGACAGACCCGGGATCCCCCTGGGGATGTTCTGAAAGGGGAATTTTACCCAAAAATAATTCCAATAATTCCAGGTATTGGAGCCCCCTGGGATGTTCTGAAAGGAATTTTTATTTTTAATTTTTTCACCCAAATCACTCCAGACCTGGGAGCCCCTGGGATGTTCTGAAAGGAATTTTTTTACCCCAGAAATTCCAGATTTTGGAGCCTCTCAAAGGATTTTTTAATTCAGATAATTCCAG